CCCCGGGGCGGTGAGTGCTGTCAGGGGAGAGAATAAACCGGCACGGACACCCCGCTTCGGCCGTCGGGTCAGGTCTCGGGCCCGATGTCCCCAGCGCGTTGGCTGTGGAACCAGTGAGGGACCTCCTGGGACCTCCTGTTCTTCCTGGCATCCATGAGCGGGGAGCTTGGGGGTGTCGGCGGGGTACTGAAAATGCTGACTTTTTTGCTATATTTTCCTCAGATTCCACTAAGCGTTTGCGTCTAGGACCGCGGGATGGAGATAGGGCTGTGCTGAGAAAGCTGTTCGTGACACGAAGGTGGGATGTATCCTCAGCAGAGAGGAGAGCTGTGATGTGCAGAAAGCATGAGATCACGTTGAGGCCGAGAGTAACGGGCATGGGATGAAATTCAGTACTACAGGGTTTGTGGTCATATACTTGGGAACCAATAAGCTCATCATTTATTCAGTGGGAGCTCATCATTTGGAAATGGTAGTGGAGGAGACCTTGGGTATCATCACTGGTTCCACAGAGGCAGCCTGTAATCTACGAGGAGTTCAAGAAACAAAAAGATGTGATTTTAAGAGGTGAGTTTAAAATTCAAAGTATTTTAGGGACATACAGGTACATTCACAGCTCATCTTGGTTATTGTTTCTGGCCACCCACGTTCAAGAAGCCAAACTAAAAGAGGGGCAGAGAGAGCGGATACAGCACAGAATGGAGACTGTTACGAGGGATGAGAGGAGCGTTGTTCCCTGAGTCTAGCAAAACAAATATGAAAAGAATTACAACTGCTGTGTCCAGAGGACAGGCATTTTGCAATCTGAGAGGGCAAAAAGCTATGTAAGATGGAGAACTATGCAGGCACTATAGCAGATGGGTATACACTGAACATTAACACGTCTGAGCCAGAAACAAAGGAGCAAAGATACTGCCATTAGAGGAGTGACACTGTGGGACAGCCCTGCCATGGAAGCCACATGCATAAAATCTATTCTTTTTTTTTTTTTTTTTTTTTTTAAGAGGGAGCTCAGGAGGCTTCTGAAAGGGGTTATATGATGTCTCTGCCTAGGTTACCAGAGGGATGTATCTGAGGAAGTGGGTCGCTCTCCATTTGTGTTTCTGCTGAACCCCAAAACTCTCCTTTGCCAGCTACTAGTATGATGCATAGTAAGTCTTTCTAGTTTGAGAGATGCACAACTCTCTGCAGACCCCAATTAGTCAAAACAGTTCTTCTTGAAAATGTCACTTTGCAATATAACCTCTCACATTTCTTTCATTCTTCTGTTCTCTGTTTACTCGCAAGAGCGATGACCTCTCTTTCTTCACACCTGGCTCAGGCAGTCTCCTGGGAAAGAAGCAGCTGTGTGGATGAGGCAGCTAGCGAACTACCTCATCTGCCATGAGATGCTGACAAGCCCAAAGACCAAGCAGCATTGTTCCAGGAGATACAGGCTGCCCCAGTCATGATTCCTTCCTCTTCCTTATCACACCCACTCGTCATGTATCCTTTCCTAAATGCGAGGGGAAAGTATTAATAATTGAAGTGTTTTACACACATGCAGGTCTTCATTCTTTGTGCTCCATTTTCTGGCAGAGCAGTAGGTACCCTAAAATAAAATAGATATATGTCCAGCATATGTTCCTTGTAAAGGTAAATCTGTACTCCTGTTTCGTGATCGCCCCACTCTTGTGAGTTCTTGCAAAATACTTGTAGGTTCCCAGATGTGTCTCTAGTTTTCATCAGTGTCTGTTGAACCCTGGCAGCTTCTTCTGACTGTAGTGGCAATTGTGGCTTTTCAGTTCTGAGCATCAGCCTCATAAAAGAACCACTTGAATTTTGTGTTTAATAATGTATTTACTTATACAGACAGTAATAGCTTAGCGTGGGGATGCACTTTCTGCTTACTGACTTTATATTGCCTAAAACAATAACCCGTCAGATCACTGGGCTTTGTGGCTCTACTGCTGTAATAGCAACAGTGGGTTTATGTACACTTTCAAGTGTTGAAGGACACTGATAGGCCTGAGAGCCGGGTCTGCACTGGGCTTTCCCCGCTTGCCCATTTTCATTTTCTCATGGTTGTTTGTACTTCATGGTCATTCACTGAAAAGTTCTTCCAAAATTTACTTTTAATATGTGGTAGGAATCTGTAGAAAAAAAAATGCCCATTTAGAAGAAAATGAGATCATCTTAAATAGATCACAGCAGTTTTCAAAGTCCTTGCCTGGTGTGGCAAAGGCCAGCACACAGAGAACACAATGTGTGTGTTAGCTCTGGGAGGAGTCCTCAGTCCCCTGCAACTCTGACCAGTGACCTCTTTCAAGCTGGCCTTGTGAATACAATCTTATTTTTTTTCTTCCAGTTCCTTCTCTTTCTCTGTCTTCTTGTCCTTTTTCTGTCCATCTCCAAGGAAAGAATTTTTTTTGGTATTCTCCAAAAAGCTTCTTTTTAATATAGTGTTTGCAGCTCCCTGGAAATTCTGTTCTTTTTCACTTTGATTGACAACCTCATGCTTCCTTTCACACCCACCCCCATTACAGATTTTTTTTTGGCTGCAGCTTCCCCAATGCATTAAACAGACCTGCTGCTGCCTTCTCTGAGAAAGTGCTGAAAAAACTTTTCCAATTTCGGGCAGCTTTCCTTTTTATAGCATTTGCTAGCAGCATTGTGATTACGACTGAGCTCGCACTTCCAACTGGAGACAACTGGGAGCCAGGATTGCAAGTACCAGAGAGGGCTTTTCTAACCTTTAGCTGTATTGATCCTTCATATAAAATAAAAAGGGAGGTGATAATGGACATAACACAACTTCATCATTAGATCATTACAAAAACTTTCAGGGTATCATGGTGTGCTACGAAAAGATGTTTTGAAATTCCAGTTGCTTAGCTGCTATAAAGCACTCTGGCGTCTCCACTCTAATGTTGCTAGATAGCATGGATGGACAACGAAGATAGTATACAGGATCCCCTTCTTTATGAAGCACAAGTATTTATTTGGGTCTTTATTTCCTTGGCTTTCAATGAGCCCAGACAGGACATGCACCTTGGAGGAGTACCTGCTTCACCTCAATGGTCAGTATAAATAGCAGCTCATCCCAGGGCAAAGGTAGACTTTGTTGGGATGAGGCTGAAATGTAAAACACATATACACACATATATGTAAATGAGTAAATATATACATAAAGACATTTATACCTATTAATTGGGAAGCTGTGATGAAAAATTGGGACTATTTTATGGAATGTGAGGCAGGCATATCCCTAGCTGAGTTTCACGCAAATTATTTCTTGTGAAACGTTGGCATTCCCAGAGGATCTTGTGACCCAATTTTCAACACTGCTAAGGCATTAAAATTCCACTGGGAGCCAGAGGGGTTCAGCACCTTTAAAACTCAAGGACTGCTTAATTCTTGTCAGGTGTGTAGTAGTTCCAGGATAACAGGGAGAGCAGGGCCCTGTTCTTGCACCCAGGCCAAGGAAAATAAATTATTTTCCTGCTTTGTGAATTCTGCTAGCGGAGATAGATTAGCACATTACAGTTTCTCTGATGTAGAATCCTCCAGGACTGCCTAAAGAAAAGATGAAAAAAGGTTGTGCATTTTTCTTCCTATTTAGCCAGGACTCTGAGCTGAGTCCCAGCACCACATGATGGGTGCTGTCTATGTAACATTTTTTTACTGTATCCTTAGACAATTTATGTTTTCTGTATTGGTATTAAGATAGAAATAGAACAGAAACTTCAGGACAGTACTCACATGGGCTGGGATTTTCTAAGTGTATGAAGCTAAGGGCTCTTTACTCTGTCCATGCCTGGAATTCATATGACTTTGCTACCTAACCTTCTTCGGGTCCTAGCCTTGTCTTTTTTCTTTGAAAAGATATTATTCTACTTTACTTTAGTCACAGAAAGATATGTCATGTATCAGCCTTCTCTTTAGAGAGGCTTTAATTACTAGTAGTAGTAATTAAAAATCAGTTGTAGGATTGATGTATAGCAGACTATCAGAAAAGTTTAGCCTGTACTCTAAGTGATTTTTAAAAAAAAAAAAATTGATTATTCTGCTAAAAGAAGGGACTTGAATCCAGTTTTAACTCCATGACTGCTGCCGGTATTTTGTAATAACATGTGAACCAGGCTCAACATCTGCCACTCCAGTCAGGCTCAGATTAGGTCCTTACTTGGCAGTACTGCTGCCTTCTGTAATTACATTTTGCGTTCCTTCTGCAACAAGCCCGTGTCCTGTTTGGCTTTGACTTTTAAACGTAAAGCTCCCAGTGCCATTACTGCTGCAGTTTTTTGCAGTGACTGCTCAGAGCTTTTCCTCTGTCACTGTGTGGCAGCACTGCTCCACGTAATGGATGCTACTTATTTTCCCTTCAGCTTGAGAACCAGGTGAATGATCATATAGCCCTTTTGTCACTAGACCCATCCCTGTTCCTCTTTATTTGCTGTTTTTCTCCTATGCTCCCCACGCTCATTTTTCATCCGTCATTGTCCTCACTTCCTCAGAGGTTTTGAAGTGATTCATATTTCCCTGGCTTTAGCATTAGATTTTTCATATGTGCCTTCCAATTATGAGATTCTTAAGATGTGAACAATGATCAGAATTATGAAATATATGGGAGGCTATTAACAGGCTTGGAAAAAAGGTGGTATTCATTCCTGCCCTCAGAGTATCTAACCTTAGGTTCTCAATTTAGATACTTAATCCTGCAAGGCTCCCTACACAATCAATAGAGACGTGTGCTCCTCCGCAGGGCTGGTCAGAGTGTCTAAATTGGATGCCTGCTCCCAGTGCCTCTCCAGGCTGCCTGCTTCTCTCTATTGATTGCGCAGGGA